CAGCACTTTTCGTAAAACTTTTATAACTCGTTCGTTTTTGGATATGACCTTTTAAAAACTTTTTGTATCCCTAAAAGTGAATGGAGATTCGAATGAAAACATAAAGAAAGAGATGTTAAATTTATTCATGTTTTGCTTTCTGTAGCAAACTGTTCAATGAACTCGTACAATGTTTCTTAATTCAACTTCTCAGGAATCAATTTCTACTCCGATAACTCACCTGAGCGGCTGTCTTCTGTTTTTCTTCTGGTGTAGAACTAGTTTTTGTTTGATCAAAATACCCACGTTTTACACGTATTTCTCGTTTGCTTTCATCATTAATTACCGCATATACCAGAAGAAATGGCGATGATGCTAAAGACAGTTTAAAAAATTATGGTGAAAAGCGTATGTTGATTTCCAGAATAGGAGAGAAAATTCGCATTTTCACCTTTTTTCAATTTAAAAGATGACTAGTGTATTGTGACCATGACTTTTTTCGCTCATCATCCTGAGAGATATCGATGTCATTTCGACCAGAAACTTTAGTATCATATGTAATTAATGTACATCCCATCTGACTGATGATTCAGAAGAAAAGGTAAAAATTTATAAATAACTTCCAGTCTTTTCTGAAAGCAAAATTTATAAATTTTAGTAAAATCGAGTAAAAAATTCAGCAGTTTTCCTAATGAAAACTAAATTTTTTTCATCAAAGAAGGAAGACGTGTTATTCAAAAATACGTGCGGCTCCCAATTATTTCCATGACAGCTCTTAAAATATTGCTTTGATTATTTTCTATTCTTTGGAATTTCAAAAATCAAATAAAGACCATTCTTTTCCTGCAGTTAGGAACTTAGGAACTTTCGCAAACTCAAAAAATGTCGAGGGTATCTGAATAGATGGAATTCACTCTGTTGATAACGATTGCGATCTCAGAACTGCACAGAAACGCTTTATTCGCAAAACTAGCTTTTCAAAAATAGTCCTTTGTCGCAACATCCGATCGATGAAGGTCATACTATCTCTGCCAGAAAAGATCAATTCACATCAGCACTCATCTAGGTGCGTCGAGCAAAATTAGCTCTAAACAACCTGAGCAAATAAAAATGAAAAAAGTGTTAGAATTATCTAAAAGAGGAAAAGAACTCCTTTGGATAATAATAGGGTTGGACAGCCTGAACACGGATGGTCTCGAAGACTATATCACTAGTCTTTTTATTTCAGACTTTTTTCCAGGATACAAATATAAACTTCCTACAAATAGAATATTACGTTTCCCTTTTCGATCACCCGATTCTGCACCAAGAATTTCAACAGGTTGGAGCTGATTATATGTTTCGTAGTTATCCATAGTAGTGGTGGCGATGCCGACTCTATGATTATCAAGAAACTGTAAGGGCTCAGTAGAAAACATACCATTTTTACAAAATCAGGGACAAAATCATTCTTGTCTTTCAGCCTGTACTTTGCCAGTCTGATAAAACTGTAGTAACTAATAGTTACAACGGATGATTAACACACATTAGCCGAGACAAACAGGTGACGGACCGGAAAAAATGAGACTGAAAAAAGGTTCCTTACTGTGCAGGTGTTGAAAAATAAACCAGCAAACGGGGAATAACCAGCCTTTTTATGAAAAGATATAGCACGAACACTGTTCGTTCTGTTTTTCGATGTGTTCTATAATATCAGTTGGTGCGACAAACACCCCTCAAACGCGCAAATCTTCCGGGATGATTACTACCCATCATAAGGAATATATAGTCTCTGACTTACATTGAACTGCCAGTCTTTCACCACTACGTTTTGGTAGATACACAGGTATCAAGGCTAAAACAATAGTTCCTACTAACAGCAAACCCAATATCCCGAGACAGCATAAAGCAATTAATGGAACTTTTGAAAACCAACGACGATTTTTCCTAGAAGAAATTACAATATTAATTACTTAATCCCTGCTAACAAGTTACATACATTGCAGTTGATGACGGCAGCGCAGTAGGGACTGCCTCAGCTGGTGGGTTCAGATGATACATTCTCCAGTCGTATTTTGTATTTATACACGTTTCCTGAGAGTTGATTATTTATAGCCGATAAGAAATTACTATTAAAAGAGTCCACATATCTTTGCTTTCTATTGGAATAATGCGTTTATCCACTCCTCCTGCTGAAATTGGATATACTCATTGCTCTTATTAGGCGATCGGAGAGTGATTTATAGATCGCATATCATGCGTATTATCATTTTTTTCTCATCTTTTATAGGTGAATATTGCTGCTTCATAATAGGGATGAAGTCAAAATTGTTACCGCTTGAATCGCTTCAAGTGTTTTCTATATGTCGATATATTTATTCACAGAAACGAAAAAAGAAAAGTGAGAAACGATAGAGAGTAAACAGGACATTTTTTTCCTACATAGAAGAAGAGAACGGAAAAGAATGATACGATGTTGATATATGTCATAGGTCTATAGAGCCTCATGCTCTAATTTCGATAATAAGTTTTTAGGTTTCTTATGTCGTGTTTTTCTCGGTTAACTGTTAAAACTTTCTATACTACTTTAGTTAGTCAATAACCAGCTAAAATTCAACATATTCTCTTTGTAACAAAAAACAGTGTTTAGAAAGTATTATGTGAAAGTCAACAATCCGTTTTATCGTTGTCAGTTCATTCTTTTACCAGTTGTAGTCGTGAGTGTATGGAACATTTTTTGTTCTAAGAGTATATGATAATTTTGACTTTCGGGTAGCGTTCACATCGTTTTTTCTAAAAGTCTATTAAAATGTCATGTGTTTCTATGAAAGTGTCGAAATAAGGAAGAAGATATAACTTCGACACACATATAAGTATATTCTTCATTGAAGAACAGCACGAAAACATGCACTCTTTTCAAAAACAAATATATGGCTCGATTCGCCGTGGTCTTCTGAGTGTTCCTAAATCAAATTGAGAAGGTTCTGATCAACTTGGTCTGATCGAAAACATATATACTTTTCTTTGACAATTTATTCTACTCTCATACTACTTAAAAGGGAACCTCTCGAGGTGATTAAAAGCTTTTCGACTCAGATTATTTTCATCATGTAGGGAATAGTCAACAGTGAAAAACCCCAAGTTGGTTTGGGCCCATGTGCCTTTTTGACGGAGATATGAGTTAATTAATGAAAATGCCATTAATAATAATTAATTAATAGCTCACGACCATGATCAGCTAGGAGTCGGAAATTTTCACCACTGTTCAAGATAGATGTTGTCTACTCATTGCTACAATTTTAAGCTTATAAACCAAAGCTTTTGCAAGATATGAATTTTTTATGATTTAGACAGTTTTAGTGAAAATTTACCATTGAAAATCTAAAAACTTGTTATCACCTTTTAGATACTTCCATCGACTCAGCAAAGACTTATTTTATTTACATCTAGGTCCCTAAGAGCCGCTAGGCTTCTGCAGCGTGAACAGAGGTACTTAAAAGGTGATAACAAATTTTAAGGTTTTCAATGGTGAATTTTCACTAAAAACTATCTAAATCATAAAAAATTCATATCTTGTAAATATTTTATATGGTTTTATATGGACTTAGCCTATCCGTCAATGTCGAAAACATCCCTCTCCAGTAGTATTTCTAGTGTTAGGACGCCAAGGCCCCATTTGTTCTTAATATCCTATATACCATTTTGTAGCCCCTGAAATTCTCTACCGAATGATATATAAAGTGGCGTGGCTAACGATAAATTGGCTGGACAATATAAGCGAGGAACGCTGTTGACCTGTCGACTTGTGGAGGTCGGGGCTAGTATTTCTACTGTTATGACACCAAGATCCTATTTGTTCTCAGTAACATATATATGATTTTGTAGCCCGTGAAGTTCTGTATCGAATGATATACAGTAGTTGAGGTTTCCTTTGGGCAAATGGAAGAAATGGGAGAAATACTCTGAATAAAGTTCATTTAAGGGGAGAAAAGTTTGGATGTGGAATTTTTTCCAGGGGGTATGAATATGGTTTTCTTGAGGCGCTAGTTTTAATTACGGAGAATAACTACATCAGACTTGTGAATATAGGCTTGATCTAAGAAGGGACCGATTTTGCCTCTTATCGACCGTCCTTTTATACTTTCCTCAAATGCTTAGCTTTTATATATTGATGATGATAATTAGCTTTATTTTTATCTATCGGGCCTATGAGGACACCCATCGTAAAGACAAAAAAATAAAAATAAAAATACAAACAAAAACAGAAGCAAAAACAGAAATGATATCATTAAAGTGATGTGAGTTAGAAAAGTTACATGACATGAGTGAATAACATGAATTGAGGTAAACAATAGTGCGAAGATAAAAAACTAGTTTACAGACTAAAAATATAGTCACAATACGTTTACAAAAACGAACCAGGAAATTTTATAAACGTTTCGAGCTCGTCTTCTCCGACCTGTATCGAATTTTCTGCATTATCGGAAACCAAGAAACACACTTTTGGAAAACCGATAAATTAGGAACAATTCGTTTCGATCTGCGTAAGCTTCTTACTATATGAACTTTATTTACCCACTGCTCTCTAAATATATTTAGCACATAAACTTCGTATCGCATTATTCAATCGATAGAATTTGCAAGTGAACATAAAAACTTTGCTCCAACACTGAAAACATCTGTTTTCGAAAGGCCGTTCATGCAGTAGACCGTTCCAATAGAAAACTCCATAGACCCGACGTAAGCACGAATAATAAAAATGTGCACCTCCGCTTGCTGACACTGCGTTATAAGCGGAAAGATGGCAAAAAGCCAGGTGAACAGGGGAAACACATATGTGAAAAATACCATTCGTTTGAATTCGATATTAGAAGTGTCATTGAATCTACATGCTCGCACTATAGCTACTCTTTGTCTGATTTTTGTTTTGTATTTTTATTTTTATTTTTTTGTCTTTACGATGGGTGTCCTCATAGGCCCGAT